GATAACACCCAATCCACAACCAATCAACATTACTAGTACCTCTGCAACAACAACAACAACAACAACAACAAAAGAAAACAAATATGAACAGTGACTACTTCAAAATATTGCAAAGCAATATTATATTACGATGTTATACACATTAGAAAGTCTAATGGTTATGAAATGTCGTATATGTTGTATATTAAATGATTTCAGGTTGGGGACAATCAATGTCTCCTCCAGTCTCTCAAAGACTCTCCGTACTACAAGGGATTTGAAGACAAAGCCTCCATATGGGAAGGCCGTCTTGCTGACTTGGATGAGTATCTGCATAATTTGAATCAGATACAAAGAAAGTGGGTCTACTTAGARCCTATTTTTGGACGTGGTGCTCTGCCACGCGAACAAGGAAGATTTCAGAGGGTCAATGACGATTTTAGGTTCAGAMATTTGTTCATTTGATTATTTGTTTAATTGTAGTTCATTTGCGCATTTGTCAATTTGTGCATTTGTTGAGTTTTTCATTTCCACATTTGTTCATTTGTTCATTTGTTGATTTGTTAATTTGTTAACTTGTTCATTTGCTCATTTGCTCATTTTTTCATTTGTTAACTTGTTCATTTGCTCATTTGCTCATTTTTTTCATTTGTTAACTTGCTCATTTGCTCATTTGTTCATTTGCGCATTTTTTCATTTGTTCATTTGTTCATTTGCTCATTTGCTCATTTGCTCACTTGTTCATTTGCTCACTTGTTCATTTGTTCATTTGCTCATTTGTTCATTTGTTCATTTGTCCATTTGCTCACTTGTTCATTTGTTCATTTGCTCATTTGCTCACTTGTTCATTTGTTCATTTGCTCATTTGTTCATTTGCGCATTTACTCTTTTGCTCATTTGTGCATTTGTTCATTTGCTCATTTATTCATTTATTCATTTGCGCATTTGTTAATTTGCTCATTTATTTATTTGCGCATTTGTTAATTTGCTCATTTGCTCATTTGTTCATTTGCTCATTTGCGCAATTGTTCATTTGCTAACTGTTCATTTGCGCATTTGTCCATTTGCCTATTTGTTAACTTGTTCATTTTCTTATTTGTTATTTTGCGCATTTGCTCGTTTGCTCATTTGTTCATTTGTTCATTTGCTAATTTGTTCACTCTTTATCTTGACCTTATCAATTTCACTTTTTTCATTTTTTTTACCTTGCTTTCCTTTTTATCGATTTATGTTTCTGTTTGCTTCTCTCATAAGGGTTTGATTATTGTAAAATCTCCTAGGTCTATTATGATGGACGTTGTCAATGACAACCGTGTGTTGTCTCTGGTTGGTCGATCAGGGATAAGGAACACTTTGGTAACTCTCCTTGACCAGTTGCAGCGTTGTCAGAAGTCTCTCAATGAATTTCTAGAGGTACATATATTTTAAAAAGAATTTTTTTTTGATCGGCTAACATCTCATTTTCAGGGTTTGCAGTGCTACTTTTTTTAATCCTGGAATCGAAAACTCGCCATCGGCTCGAGATTGTATTTTTTTATACAAAAGGCCGCTTGTAAACATTACTTAAAATATGAATTTTTTTTAAAATGCTTCTGGAATAGTCATTGAATATGTTCCACTCTATTTTTTTTTGTTTGTTTTTCTTTCATTTTTTCACTGAAATTAGAAATTTTTTTTATATTGAGTCAAAAAGCCTCAAACGAGATTTATAAAATAGTTTTTTTAAATTGAATTCCTTTGCTTTTAAAGTAYTTGAAAAATACTTTTTTTTTGTTATGATAGTTTAGCACGAAACCTGTTACAATTTTAGATTTTTTTTGATGTTTGATGGYTACCAACAATTTTGGTTAACCAAAATTTTTTTTACTTTTTWATAAACGTTCTCTTTTATTTAAATAGGAAAAGCGTTCCATGTTTCCACGATTCTACTTTATCGGTGATGATGACTTGCTTTTTTTTCTTGGCCAGGCAACCAATCCAACAGTTATACAATCGCACCTTTTTTTGCTGTTTGCTGGTATCCATAACGTGGTGTTTGACGAGGGATGTAAGAAGATCACCGCTATGATGTCTATAGATGGGGAACAAGTGCCTTTGAAAAGACCTGTCACCATAACTCCYGAGGTTGAGGTGAGRTGTATTTTTTTTTTCGATGATAAGAAAACATTGYYAGTGATGATTTCATGTTTTTTTTGCCTTGTGGCAAAGGTKTCTGTTGTTCAATGTGGGAAAGTCATTGTTTTTGAGCTCATTCGCATTAGGRGTGACACRCACTTTTACTTTTTTTTTTTTGCACTAAATTAGAACTTTCCAATTCTCTTAAATTTCTTTTTTTCACCTTTGGCATTTTATATGAAAAATCAAATACACGACCATTTTTTTAGAATGCGTGTTGATCATAATGTGCTAAGGTGATTGTGATTTTTTTTGTGATAACGATGACTACAGTTGTGTCAACATTCCAATGACTTTTTTTCAAGGTTAATAACTTTATGCCTTAAAATACTAATGGTTTGCCATCTCTAAGGTCTGGCTCGATCACTTGGCTAAGGAAATGAAAGACTTTTTTTGTGAGTTACTGGTRGAATGTCTGAATATTGGTAGGAAAGGTTTTTTTGGGGGAGTCGATCCTTCAAAATTCCCATCACAGGTAACGTAAAAGAGTCTTTTCCTCTTTGTAAACAAGTAGCATTGTTAMGTAATTTTTTTTTAACATTGTGTAGGGYTGACTATTCAATGGACGTTAAACCATTTTTTTGCGCACGCTTGTTATATAGCGCTATTTAGCACAATGTTTTTAAAGGTAAAGGTGTTGTTGGGTGCTAATTGTCCTTCATGGCAGCACTTTTTTTGAATTGCGAAAGACGCAGGTCGACGCGCCCTCAAGTCGAAGTGCTATATTACAGACACATTTTACATACACTTTCACCTAGGCGTGCTGCCGGCTAGGTGCTTTCTTTACATAGCAACGTCGACTGGTGGATGCTAATCGCTCTACATCGCATCACAGTTGCTTAATTGCGAACGGGCGCATTTTTTTATGATCTTAATTGTAGACTGACACCAGATAAAAATAGTCGTTTTCAGGCAAGGCTAGAAACATGAGTGCTTCTTTTGCTTTTTGACTTTCCTCCATATTCCACCGTATTTATGCCTCTATTCAACACGCTCATCTTCATCATGAACTTGTTTTTTAGATTCTTTGTCTTGCCGAGCAAATCTTTTTTTCCGAGCGTTGTGAGGCAGCTATCAAGAGCAATAGTCTTCATTTTTTTCAAATAGAGATGGAATCACAGCTCGAGTCTTATACAAGTGCAGAGATTGGATCAGGCGAGAGCGGTGATGCTGTAGCACACGTCTTGTTTTTTTAGCTGAAAGCTCTTATTCTAGACACCATACATGCCATAGATGTAGTCCAACAATTGATTAAGTCTTCTGTGAAATCTTTGGATGATTGGATATGGCAGAAACAACTTCGATTTTACATGGGAAAGAGTGAGTAATTTTTTTTCCCCTGGTATTACCTGGGTTTCGCGGGGGGAGGCGGTGTTTTTTTTTAACTCATGTCTTATTAACAACAAAATGAAGTTAAGATGAAGAAGTGGCGTCAAACCTCCAACAATAATTGATTTCAATGCAAAAGTTTTTTTTACATTTAATAATAATTCTATGAAAATAGAAAGTGTTGAAGTTTTTTTTCAATTTTGTACCCATTATAGAAAATTTCAAAACATTTTCGTTCGATTTTCTTTTCCAGAGTCGTGTGTTATCCGCATGTGCGATGCTTTTTTTAATTACACCTATGAGTACCAAGGCAATGCTCCTAAACTAGTCCACACCCCCCTGACTGATAAATGCTACTTAACCCTCACCCAAGGATTTTTTTTGGGTCTGGGGGGAAACCCTTACGGTCCTGCAGGGACGGGTAAGACAGAGTCTGTGAAAGCCCTTGGAGGTTTGTTTGGTAGACAAGTTTTTTTCTTTAACTGCGATGAGGTGAGTGTTTAGTTAGTATCACGATGTCATTGCGGGAAGATTCAGGGGCCGGTTGCATGAAGAGTGAATAGTGCTATGATCCACGGGATAAATCCTTATACATTGGATGAAATCCTTATTTTTTTTATTGAGTGAAGAACGTGAACTACTTTGCTTCACGCCCGATTTTTTTAATGGGAGAATCTACGCAGCACTCAGTTGATGTAATATATTTTTTTTGATATAATACAAAACACATAATACAATAGAACTAGAAACATTTTTTTACAATACATTTTATGAATACATTACATCAACTGCGTGCTATTTTTTTCACCCCATCTTGCAATACTCCAGCTTTGAGATCTTAATTCTTTTTTTTTTACCTCAAAGGCATGTAATGCATTCTTTTATCCTATTGTTTTTTTAACACTCTGTGTACAAAGRAGACGATAAAAATTTATGCTTTTTTTTTGCTAAGCTTGCGCAAAAGAGAATTCGAAACTGGAGTAGAATTTTTTTTGAAAWTTCCCTAAATGTATCGTTTTCATTACCTGTGGCTTTTTTTTCTAGATATACCCCTTGTTATCATAATCATCAATGACCTATTTTTTTTCTTTTCATGAAGACACACTGTCAGAATACTTTTAATCAGTTTTTTTTAGTTTTCCATTCAATATTTCATTGATTTTACCCATTCAATTTTTTTTCCATCTCTGTTTTTCTTAAGGGTATTGATGTCAAATCCATGGGCCGTATATTCATCGGGCTTGTCAAGTGTGGTGCTTGGGGATGCTTTGATGAGTTCAATCGTCTAGAAGAAGCTGTGTTGTCTGCAGTATCCTTTTTTTTACAAACCATCCAAGCAGCACTCAAATCTAAAGTCCAGTCTACTGAACTATTAGGCCGTACGGTAAGTTCGTATGACACACGGGGGTTTTTTTTGGATAGGGTTACAATTTGGTGGTTTTAGTCTGAATAGAGGTTTTTTTTAGTTAGTTTTAGTCTGGATTAAACTGGGCTTTTGGTCGATTTTTTTAAACAATGTTAATTCGGTTTAACAGTTATCAAAATAGGGTTTTTTTTTCTTAGGTTTAGTCTGGGGTAGGTATATGAAAAATTTTAGTTTTTTTATAGGGTAAGGGTATGAGGTCCTTGCCGTACACCCCCACCTTTTTTTCCCCCCGAATCTGACATGGTTCGTACGGTCTTGAAAAGTCTTTTTTTATCAACGTTTTTCTCTCTCTAGGTAAACATTGACTTTAATTTTTTTTTCTTCATCACTCTCAATCCTGCCGGTAAAGGATATGGTGGCCGTCAGAAGCTCCCTGATAACCTCAAGCAGCTGTTTCGACCAGTCGTTTTTTTAAGACCTGACAACGAACTCATTGCAGAGGTTATTATGTTCTTTTTTTGCTTCAAGGAAGCGAAGAGCCTGGGTCGAAAACTTGTGGCTTTTTTTAACCTATCAAAGTAAATATCGCAGAAGAAAATCGCAGTTATTTTTTTTTTTTGTTAACTTTATTTTATAAAACGTACGCTGGTTATTTTTGTAGAGAACTACTTTCTAGACAGCAGCACTATGACTGGGGTCTTTTTTTTTTTAAGACTGTACTACGTGGCTGTGGCAACTTGCTTCAGTCTTTTTTTCAGTCTGGACCCAAAGGTAAATTTACTATCATGTTTTTCATTTTTTTGGAATCGTACCGCTATTTTATTCATCAGTATCAGCATCACTTTTTTTGTACAATTTTACGATTTACGTTTTGTCAACAGTTGATGTCTTTTTTTAAACAAGTGTCGTCGTCCAAGCACTTCGCGTTAACACTCTTTTTTTTCTAACCTTCGCTGATTCCAAGCGTTTTGATGCGTTGGTTCTTTTTTTCTTCCCTGGGGTCGATGCTCGAGGTGTAGAGTACKCMCAGTTTTTTTATGCATTACGTGCTGCGGCTGAGGAGAGCAATCTTGTTGTTTTTTTTACCCAAGTGAAGAAAGCCCTTGAACTTTACGAGCAGCTTATTTTTTTGATGGGCGTGGTTATCATCGGTCCGTCGGGGTCTGGTAAGTTTTTTTTATGGAGGATTCTGAGGATTGCGTTGGGAAAGATTGGTCAAACTGTAAAACAGTATACAATGAACCCTAAAGCCATGCCAAGGACACTTTTTTTTATTAGGGAAGAAGGTTGTTATGTTATAGTCAATTGAAAACACGGCTCCCCTACTCCCTGGCAACACTGTTCGACAATTTCCAGTTGTTTTTTTGCTCTTTGAGGCAAAAATATTGGCTAACCAGATAATTTCCTTTTTTTTGAACGTTAAATTACTACGCTTCCCTGTGATTCTGCGGAAACAGCGTTCAATCTCTGGCTTTGGTGGGGTTGCATTTTATTGATGTATTTTTTTAAACGCGAGGGCTCTACAAAGTGGTCGGAATTCTACTATTTTTTTTTACTCTCTTAAACGACCGGTCGACAATCAAAAGGAGTGTTATTGGTCACCCTGCAGCTTACCGACTTAACTAAATTAGAAAACTCTTGTTTTTTTATTGTGTTGTAATTTTTCACTTTTTTTTCCTTTTCAGTTGTTTTTTTAGATCGAYATGGACACTCGCGAGTGGTCTGACGGGGTCCTCACGAATGCTGCCCGACAGGTTGTTCGGGAACCCATCGATATCCAGTTTTTTTTCATWTGTGATGGCGATATAGATCCCGAATGGATTGAATCCCTTAATTCTGTACTTGACGATAACAGACTTCTTACCATGCCTTCTGGTTTTTTTATTCAGTTTGGTCCCAATGTGAACTTCTTGTTTGAGTCCCATGACTTGAGCTGCGCTTCTCCTGCTACAATCTCTCGTATGGGAATGTTTTTTTTRAGGTAATTCATTTTTACTACAGGTTGTTCATTTTGAATTTTTTTTTGTCCAAATGATGCTGGAAATTTTCACATTCTGTACTATTTTTTTTTMGTCTCCACGCATTTCTAACCGTATTCAGAAAGTTTCGAAAACGCACTGTGTATGCCTGGCAGTACTCAAAAACTTAAAAATGCCGATTTTTTTACGTTCTTTATTAAAAAAAAAATGAAACTTGCATATATAATTTTTTTCAGTATCGTGCACGGCCTGAAAAAAAAAAAAAAAAAAAAATTTTTTTAAGAAAAAAGAAAGAAGGAAAATAAACCGGTAAATGGGAATTTTTTTACAGAAGAAACAAGATCACTATTCCGTATTTCTTTGGTTTTTTTTTTGTCATTATTGCCAACGAAAGCAAGGAATCTAAATGTGAGCTTTTTTTCAATTTACAAAACTGGGGGTCAAGTATGCAAAATATTGCATTTTTTTCATAYGATAAAAATAAATWGCATTAGACAWGGTTGTACCATTTTTTTGAATTAATGAAAGGAAATTAACACTTTGAAATTTTGAGCTCTTTCATTGACTTCAACAGCGAGGAAGATACAGATGTCAAAGCTTTATTTTTTTCATGGCTGCAAGGTCAGAGCGAAGAAGGAAGGCGTGTATTTTTTTTTTGGCTAGAAGACTATTTCTACAAGGCATTAGAATGGGTTTATAAACAAAATGACCTCGTTGTGGAAACTACCCGAGTAGGACTGGTCTTTTTTTGGTTGTCACACATGCATGGGGTCACAGTCAAGCAGCAGTTTGTCTGCAGTCTTATCAGGGGACTGGGMGCTAATTTGACGGCGTCTATTTTTTTTGCATTTGCTAAAGAGGTGGGTTATAATGGACTAGTGTTTGTTGGCGTTTGCAAAGGGTTAGGTTATGAACTCCACGTTAAATCACATTTTTTTCCAACAGGAGTTACTTGTACATAATGTTATCGACTCCATATTTTTTTTATGGATTTTAATCGCTGAACCACCTGCTCCATAATAAAATTTTTTTGGCGACACAACTTTTGCCTACAACCATCGCATGCGACCTGTTTTTTTCATCCTTACAACATACTTACAACAGTTGTAGCTATGTTGTTTTTTTTACTTACTTGGGTTGTTGCGATGGTTGTAGGCAAAAGTTGTTTTTTTTAATATTACTTTCAACAAGATAGTTGATAGCTTTCTTTGCCTTTTTTTATCAAACTTAGTTGATATAGTTCTTATATACATATTTCTTTTTTTTTAACCTCTTTGACATGTGTAGGTGTTTCACTGGACTCATGATTTTTTTCCCGACGCCAAGCGACCTTTAGACACCTACTACGATCCTATTTTTTTACGTCTATTGTCCTACGAACTAGAGGTAAATCGACTTGTCTTTTTTTTCATAATTATCATCATCGTTGTTAATTTTAACTGTAGACCTTTTTTTATACTTCGAGAAAGTGTTTTACAATAATCTACACTTGAGTTTTTTTTTTACTGAATTAATTTATTTTTACTAGTTCAACTTTTTTACTTTTTTTCTACTGAAACCGGGGCCACCTAGAGAATATAAAATAATCATTTTTTTAATTAAAAACAAGGTGTAAAAAGCTAAAAAACGATGATCATTTTTTTTGCAACGAGTTAAAGCTTAATGAGATGAGGTTTCCTTAGTTTTTTTTCTTTGTTTTCAATCTAAATTGTGGCATTTTATATTCTCTAGGTGGCCCCGGTTTCAGTAGCCGCACTGTAAACACACACTAACAAAAATACTTCTTGGATTGTTCTCTTCAAATATTTCCTTTCTGTATGTAAATTTTTTTAAAAGAAATCACATAGTTTTACATAGTTTTTCAGTATTCATTTTTTTGGCCTGTGGATTGGGGCTTTAGAATACCTCCAACGTAGCTTTTTTTTGTCGTAAGAGGCGACTAAAATGGGTAAGGGAAGGAAACCCTTTTTTTAAACCCTTCACAGGGGGCCAGCAACCCGCTTGAAGTATAATTTTTTTACGGAATCTAACACAAAGAGATTTGAAGACACCTCTTCCGTTTTTTTGCGTGGAGATCCTTTGTGAAAGCGCTATGTGGGCCCGGCCTTTTTTTGCAGATTGATTGATTGATTGATTGATTGATTCATGAAATGTTTTTTTGCAGAAAGAACGATGATCGAACTTAGCCTTCAGCGTACATTTTTTTTTTTTTCGACACAGGTTCCTGACTCTTTAACTGTAGAAGATTTTTTTTGATCCACCACTAGTTTACCTGTTATCAAAACGGCTGATATTTTTTTTGGACTTGACCTATTCTCACCATGGTTACAAAGCGATAACATTTTTTTGTTTCTGTTGGTTGGTCCTGAGGGTTGTGGAAAAGAGTAATTTTTTTTAATGACTACAAGTAGATTAGCCAATCAGAGRGCAGTATGTTTTTTTGTTTTAACCTGTGTTCAGCCATTTCTAGCCCTCCTCCCCTCCCGTGGGTTTTTGCAATTCATTGATTGGACGCAAATCCACTTCCAATTTTTTTAAAAACTGACTGAATTTTGAAGAAGAATGTACATGTTTTGTTATCTACTGTATTGTTGGTTCAATTTTTCACTTTTTRTTTTACAAGTTTTTTTTTGCGATACTGTTTTGAGCAGCTTCGCTCGACCCAGGTCGTTTTTTTCCACTGTAGTGCCCAGTCTTCACCCAAACACGTCCTACAGAAGCTACAGCAGATGTGTATGGTAATAAGCACCAACACTGGCCGTGTGTACCGTCCAAAGGACTGTGAACGACTTGTGTTGTATCTTAAAGATCTGAATCTACCTAAACCTGACAAATGGGGAACTAGTCAGCTGATAGCCTTTTTACAACAGGTACACAGGGAGCCTATCACTTTATATCGACTGAATTTTTTTGGCTGAGAAACAACTTTAAGATACAGAGTTGAAACTGTTGTTTTTTTTACATTGTACTTCACGGCGTCATAAAAACGGAGATAATGTCAGCTTCCAAACGGCAGCTAGAAATGACTATACCTTGCGCAGATCTTCCTTCAGTTAGATCGAATGCCGCTACCCCTTCTCCTAGTATWTGTAGTTTTTTTTGGCACGTTACGCTGCAAAGGTTAACTGTTGAGTTTTTTTTTTTTTTGAAGATCTTCTATATACTGTATTTGTTTGTGCATGGTATTTTTTTTTTTGACTAAATCTACTTAACTCTTCTTAGGTCATTACATATTTTTTTTTCTATGATGACAATCTAGAATGGGTGGGGCTCGAAGGGGTTTTTTTTGTGGCCTCAATGAGTGCTGGTACCGGTATGGGTAGACACGCTATTACAACGCGGTTTACGTCCATCGTAAGGGTATGCGCCATTGGGTTTTTTTATGGTCCGTTATTGAAAATGAATGGGAATAGTGAGAACAAAAAGAAAAAAAGTTGAATGGAAAAGTCAATTGTAAAGTGAATGGGAATTTTTTTGAGCAGTTTAGAAAATAAGAATGATAAAGCCAAATATATATTTTTTTGGACAAATCAAACATATTTGCTGTTTTTTATTGTACGTTATTTTTTTATTTTCTTTTTCAGATATCCTGATCGAAATCAGTTGCAAGTTTTTTTCGGTGCATACCTACATCCCGTACTGAGCAAGAATCTACGCTTTTTTTCCGTGTGGGGATCAATACGAAATGTTCAGACTCTTGCAGGTTCAATGGTATCAGTATACGAACAGGTACAGTGAAGCTATCCTAGAGACAAAAAGAAAAATCTATTTGTTGTGGGAGTTCTTCTGTCCGTGATTTTTTTTTTGGGCCAAATCAGCTTAGGATGTGTGGGAGACTGTGTCTATTTTTTTAGTGTTTTGCGTGGTGCTATGCTAYGCAAATTGTCCGCCATTTTTTTTCTGTTTCACTTTKTTGGTACTSTTACTTGATTTTTGATTTTTTTTTTTTTTGAGTGCTAAATTGTTTGCTTGTTGTTTTGCTTAATTTTTTTTTAAAAGGTCTCGTTGCTAGGTTCGGTCCAAGTTCACCGTTGACGATTACTCGCACTACTTGTTTACCCCACGTGACCTTACCAACTGTTTTTTTGGCCTCCTCCGTTATGACGTCAGTATAGAAGACACCTCAGTTTTTTTGCTTTTAGAAGTCTGGGCGTACGAGGCGCGACGCTTGTTTTTTTTTTGAATTGTTGGAAAACAGGGCTTAGACAAGTTTGACAGGTATTTTTTTCAAACTAAATCAGAAGACATTGAAGCTGTCATTATTAATGTTTTTTTTGATGATGATTAATAATGATGATGTTCATTGATCATGACTTTTTTTTGTGCTGCCATTATTATCATAATTCGTCATCCTTTTTATTATTTTTTTTATTTTTGTGTTTTTCTTTGTTGTCTTTATAAGACAGATATTTTTTTACAGAAAAAAAAATCTTACTTAGTTTTGTTGTATTCGACATTTTTTTCATACTTGCATCCCAGCTACGATCTGATTGGTCAGTYACCTTTTTTTGATTGGAGCAAACGTATTTCGTCACGTGGGGTGCGCATGTTTTTTTTGTTGCAACGGATGCCGGGAATGCTGATGGAAGTGTGTCTATTTTTTTAGGTCCTTTGCCATCATATGGGCGAAAACTAGGGAAACTGGAGCCTAATGATTTCAAACAAGTGATTGCTAAGGGCATAAAGACCTATTTTTTTGTCCAAAAAGGCGATGCTACATTGTGCAATCATCTCTGCTTTTTTTTTTTTGCAACGGCAACTGCAACAGTTTTGCTGGAGCAGTTCACTGTGCAACGGGGGTTGTTGAAATGTTTTGCGAGCGTTCATACGTGTTTTTTTAAGGATATGCAACTTTCTACTGTGTACTAACGACATATCTTTTTTTTTTTTACAGCGCGAGAGAACCGTGAACTTGATATTCTTATGTTCAAAGAAGTACTTGACAACATTGCACGAGTTGAACGCACGATGACTTTTTTTGGAGGCTCTCTTTTACTTGCAGGGAGGAGTGGTGTTGGACGACGGACAGCGGTCACTCTAGTTACACACATGCACAACATTGAAGTATTTTTTTCCAAGGTTTCTCGATCGTATGGACTTAAACAGTTCAAGAATGACTTGAAGTCTGTAAGTACTGAGAATAAAATAAAGTAAAAGAAGCTTTTTTTCGAACAGTGGACATTGTTCCTTGTCAAGGAAACAAAACGATTTTTTTATAGAAATGAAACAAAGGAAGAKAAAAAAWWAAAMSRAAMTTTTTTTMYKRAAMMAAAAMYKTMAAMMAAAWKRAAMSRAAAWKRAATTTTTTTTCAARGAAAMAATCGAAATGAAATTTAGCAAAGAACKAAATTTTTTTATGATGAAACAGTAAAAGGACAGAAAYAGTGAAACGAAACTTTTTTTTGACAATAAAAAATAACAATAAAATGAAGCTATGATATGAAAGCAAACAAAACAATGTAAATAGAAAATAAAACAAGATAACYTTATTTTTTTTTCTGTACACAGGTCATGCAAAAAGCCGGCATCGAAGGCGATTTTTTTGCACTAGTACTAGAAGATCACCATCTGGTTGACAACTCCATTTTTTTACTCATCAATAGTTTACTAAGCGCTGGCGAAATCCCTGGTCTTTATACACCTGAAGAAATAGAACCCCTCCTCTCCCCCCTCAGGGATTTTTTTTCACAGGATGGTTTCCGTGGTAACATGATCTCGTACTTCGTTTTTTTGGTTTCAGCAAATCTTCACATTGTTTTGATWTTGGACTCGTTTTTTTCTAGTTTTACGGCTCACTGTGAATCAAATCCTGCTTTTTACAAAAGCTGCTCGTTCCAATGGATGGAGKGTTGGAGCAAGGAAAGCATTTTTTTAAGTGAGTAGAGAATTCGGTTTCTTSTATGCCATATATGTTTTTTTTTGACTGAAAACCTGGAAGCCAAAGGGTGCAATTAGCCTCCTTTTTTTMCATCACTAAGAAWCACGGGCKTCCTGTCTTTTTYTAGTCTTTTTTTGCCATTATGACCGTTACAAAGGAAGCCCAAAGGAGGAAAATTTTTTTGCCTGTGGAGGAGGCTAGGGTGCAATATATTTTGTCAGAATTTTTTTTAATGGAGCAAATTTTACTTCGATTTTTATAAATATGCGTTTTTTTTAGTGCTAACTACCTTTCGGTGTCCTCGCTTCCGTCAATCAAAACTTCGAGTTTCATCGAACTGCTTCCGAGAGTCCTCTCTTGAACCTTTTTTTCTTCGAACTTGAACGAGCGGATTCCGAGACTCGAACTAAGTTTTTTTTTCACCGAACTGCTTCCTGCCGAGACTCCTCCTTTGAACCTTTTTTTAACGAACTGCTTCCAAAACTCCTCATTCTAAACTAAACAAGAACCACTTAGTGAAACATACCGTGTCCATGCACGTTACGCTAATATTTTTTTTTACCAGCGATGCGATGGATTTGATAGATTTTGCGTAATATTTTTTTTAAACATTTTTTTTTTTGAATTTTTTTATCATTCCAGCGAATTTTTTTCATTCAGATTGCATTCGCATTATCCTCAGAGAATTTATGATGAAAGTTTGCTTTGCATAAAATGATTTTAGAAAGAATTTTATAACCTTTTTTTAGAACCTTCTTGGTAAAACCTGTTTGGCTAAAGATGTTCTTATTTAAGGAGTAAACATGAGTAAAATGGCAAATTTCTGCCAAGAGGTTTTTTTTCCATTAGGTTCATATTTCGGGTGTTTACTGTATAGCATTTTTTTTTTTTGAGTGGTTTCTTTACTTTGAATGTTCACGAATCCTAGTTTTTTTTTTTCTCGATTGACTTTTCTTATAAAATCCAACATTCAAGTTTTTTTTTCTATTGGAATAAGTCACTATAATAATAAAAAGGAATATTTTTTTTTTATAAAAAATGTTTTGATGATAAACTCAGGACTCTCAAATTTTTTTCATCCATTTTTTTTTCAATGCTTTTTTTAATTAATTTTATTTTTTTTGGTTTTCCTCTTTTTCAAAGCAGCAAACGTTGGCATTCTTTTTTTTTTGTTCTTTAAACTGCGCTTTGAGCCTTCTTTGTTTAATTTTTTTTTTATCGGTCTCAGTGATCGATTCGTACCTAAGTCCAAAGACATTTTTTTCCCAAGGTTACTTAGAAGAACAGTCAATTCAAGATGGCGGTTTTTTTGAAAGACTTTCACCAATTTCAATAAGAAGATCTAGGAAAATTTTTTTTTAATATCAAATTTGATTGATAAAAGAGTAAAGACTCCCAATGGCGGCTACTCCTTGCTACTCATGAGTTATTCGTAATTGAATTAATTTTTTTCACAACTTTAATGATTTTATTTTCCTTGACCAGTTAACTATTCCATGGAACACNATAATAAGAAGACCTAGGAAAATATTGTTTTAACATCAAATTTGATTGATAAAATTCGAAAGAGTAAAGACTCCCAATGGCGGCTACTCCTTGCTACTCATGAGTTATTCGTAATTGAATTAATTTTTTTCACAACTTTAATGATTTTATTTTCCTTGACCAGTTAACTATTCCATGGAACACTGATGTAGCTCTAATTACTGTCATTCATGTCATGAGTTCGTGCTTACAGGTGCAGTGTGTTAATCATTCTTTTTATGACTGATCAAAATAGAAAGAAATAAAACAGATTTTGCGGGCAAATTTCACTAAAGAAAGTTGGGCTTCCATTTATATTTGGTATCAAAACGTACGAACAATGACATTATCGGTGATGACATTGCATTTTTGTTTGGGAGAAAACTATATAAGAACAAAACAAAAAATAAGTAAGGAAACCAAAAAATAAGCCATTTTTGTTTGGGAGAAAACTATATAAGAACAAAACCAAAAATAAGCAAGGAAACCAAAAAAATAAGCAAGGACATAGTGCTTAAAGAAAGGATAAGAAAGGACGACAAATAAAATGATTAAAAAAAATCAGAAAAAAAGTAAAAGAGCAAGACATACTGAGATAAAACTGACTCAATTCAAAGAAACAAACTGAGGGAAGGAAACACAAAAGTCATTCAATGATGATTTAACATTTTACTTTAGTAATAACTATTACTACATGTAAATCTTACAACATTACCTTTGATAATCATAAAGCCTTACATTTTAGTAAATCCACTGTTTTTCTTAAGCTTAAGTTGCATATGAATAARTAGTCGAGACAATTCCGTCTTAGTATTTGCTTGYTAGAATAATGTAGCTATAAATGTTAAACACTAGTTCCTAGGTATATCTATAAACCATATATATCACTTATTCATTGACTTCTAATAAGTCGAGATAAAATACACTACACTACCATTTTACATATCTCACAAATCATATAGTGTTTGCCATTTTAACATCTACTTCTCTGTTTTGGTGTTTTTCTGAAGTTTGAATTGCATATGAAGATAAATATAGTCACAGTCTTATAGTATTGCTTGCTTGAATAATATAACTACATTAGTTCAAATTTATAACCATAAATATCACTTGTACATAATGGAACTATTGACTTATAATTAATCGAGATAAAACGCACGACACTAACGTTTTACAATCTTACAAAATACAACGTTTGTCATTTTAACATCTTATTCTTGGCCCTTCTGGTCCAAAAGCTTGATTCATTGCTCAGTGATCTCCGATTTTCCTTCAGTCTCACAACGCATTTGTTTAGTTTTCTTTGCATGGACTGTAACATCTATAGTTCTTGTTCGTTATCAGAATGACGCCTTCTTCTGTTAGGCGCTACTAATGGACTCAGTGGTAATGGTCGCAGCTCAATTGATTGTCGTCTGTTTGGTTCTTGATTCTGTATTTCTCTTCGGCAAAGTACATTCTTCGCAGCTTGTCGAAAGTCAGGGAGAAATATTATGTAGATAAGAGGACTGAAGCAGGAGTTGGCGAYAGGTAGWAAKGAWYSTATGAYATAATAGAARGACYKCCRRTCKAWACAGACTGRWWRGTCAATTATATCAGTTGCTGGAATGACTMYGTSTAGATWAWKYAAARCAAMGAAAAGGTATAAGGGARTCCAGCAACATRTGTACAGCAACACAGAGACGAYTACCATTRTTACKGCTRATTGAGCTCGTTTTTTTCGTGCGTTTAGTTGTCTTTCGTTTAGATGGGCTTGGATGGCTTGAGGTCTGGATAGTCGTCTTATTGTAATAATACTTAGAACAAATACTACGCAACATAGAATAACAAGTAAACAAAATTCTGCTATTGAAATACTATCAAAAATAGTGACATTAATCT